CTGCCCCTAACAGGACCTCGGTAGATTGGGACAGGAAAAAAAGAGGAAAAAGTATCGCGGCAAGAAGGCCAACGTACGCTGAAATGGTCCAAGGACTAAACAAAGAAGCCGAGGAAAGATTCATAATTAGGAGATGGAAGGGAAGGGAAGAGCAAAAGAGAAAAAGTAAGTTAGATGCATCCCATGGAAGGGGGTTATGGGAGTGGAAACCAAAGCATCAGCAGCATCACTAGTTGGGTATGGAGATAAACATTGAAGTTGAAGAATATGAATGGCTGAACAGGTGTTATGTAGGCACAGTATACTTGGTGAATTCTATTCCAAACTTACAAGAGAAATTCTTCATGGAAGGAGTGTTCTTCTGCAATATCAGACCATTGGGGAGTAGATTAGTGCTACTAGAAGAGAAGGACCATGAAGACCTGAAGGAGCTGATTGACACCAGAAAGGATTGGTTGCAGCAATGGTTTGAGGATATACAATAATGGTCTCCTACTGTTATTGATGAGGAAAGATTTGCATGGATTCGATGTCAGGGGCTTCCAGCACATGCTTGGAAATCGAAAACTTTCCAAACTTGCAGAAATGTATGGGGAAATTTCATAACATTAGATGATAGCACAAGTGGTAAAAGGAGGTTCGATGCTGCAAGATTTCTAATTATCGCACCATCGTCAGAGTCCATATTTAAGTCCATCATTGTGAAGATTAATGGAGAGTTTTACACACTCAAATTTACGGAGGAAGAATCAACAAATAACCTCTTCTCCATGAGATCGGACAGGGCATTTCATGTACCCGACGAGGAAGAGGATGAAGAAAGCTGGTCCCAAGGGAGTTCCAATGATGGTGATCTCAGCTTTGACGTGGAGAAAATGGAGCAAGTCAAAATTCAAGCCCTAGAGGCTGAAGGAGGTGATAACCAGAACATGTTTGAAAATGAAGTAGTGCTATCTAATGATGTGGATGGGATTGGCAACGAGTTGGCATTTCAAGTTGATGAGGTGGAAGCCAATAAGGATGAGCCTAAACACAACAGCAAGAAGTATGCTGAAATGGATGGGACTAACACAGAGAATGGCAATAATACAGAGGACAGTGACATCCAACTGGAGGGCTCTGATGAACAAATCTCAAAAATCCAATCATAGGGAAAACCAAAAAGGTGGGAGTTTCCTAAGAGCTAAAGGGTGATGATGGTGAAGAAGGGTACCTAGGGGAAGATTTCCTGAAAAATACAGTTGTAGTACTGGATACCTATGGCAGCTACGCTACTCAAATTCAAATTCAAAACACTATTCTAGAAGGGGGCATATCAGACAAGGTCCAGGATATGGATAGCACTAGCCCATCAAGTAATAGGCTGCTAGAAATAGAAAAGGGCCCAAAGGAATTTAGCGGTACAAATGACCTTTCCGTGGATGGCCTAGCTGAAATGTCAAGATTAAACCTAGAGATGCAGAAAGACAAAGATAAAGAGGAGCCCATCGTAAAGAATAAAGACTCATCTTCATCATTTTGGCAGGATATTGGAAGCGATTCAGGGCTCGCCTCAAACTGGATGATGGGAATTGACAAGAGCCGAAAAAGGAAGAATAGAAGAAGAGCAAAATCATGTGCATTAGTCTACAAGCAATCAGGGGGCTTAGAGGGATTCCTGGAGAAACCAAAGACTAAAAGACAAAGGAAGGATTTTTGAAGGAAAAGAAATAGATCAGATTTGAAATGGATCCTGGAAAACAGATTGCAGATGTCTCAATTAATGATAGTAATATTCAAATTGCAATAAAATTCTTCAGTTGAAGTTTAAGCAGAGGAACATGGATGCATTGTGGACCACAATCAAAGAGCTTGGAGTGACGGTACAAGGGGGGGAAGACAAAATACTATAGAGATTAAAAGAGATGGAAAGTCGTGACAAGGAAAAATGCCAGAAGGAAGAGGAAAAGAAGCACGGAAAATGAGACTAGGTAAACCCCCATCTCACATGATTTTATTGTCTATCAACATTAGAGGATTAAGGGGGATTGGAAAAAAGAGGGATATTCGAGAAAAAAGTAGCAAAATACAAGGTAAAGGTTTTGTTCATCCAAGAAACCAAACAGGAGATCATAAATAATCGATTGTGTAGAATGATTTGGGACTCCCAGAATTTTGACTGGGTAGCACAACCTACTAAGGGGGCATCAGGGGGAATGATAATAATATGGAACTCTAGCATATTTAAAAGGTTGAACACCTTTGAAGGTGATAGCTTCTTGGGGGTTTTCGGGATGTGGGGAATTGAGAACATACCCTGTTATCTGGTTAATATATACTCTCCTCAAGACTTGGCATGCAAGAGAAGCTTATGGAACAACCTATCAGATATGGTTACTTTAAATTAAAAAAAGAAAATTGGTGCATAGCTAGAGACTTCAACGCAATCCGTAATTTGCAGGAAAGGAAAGGAGGTAACAACATGAGAAGGGAGATTAGGGAGTTCAATGATTTATAGAGATGTGTGGACTGGTGGATCTACCTATGATTGGGAGGAAATTTACTTGGTACCAACCAAATGGAAGTTGCATGAGCTGTTTGGATAGATTCCTTTTCTCTAAGAAATGGATGCTTAATTGGACTGATTTGAAGCAATGGGGGTTGGTCAGAACACTATCGAATCACAGTCCAGTTTTAGTGAAGAATGAAGCATGTAATTGGGGCCCAAAACCTTTCAGATTCTCTAATATATGGCTGTAGAATCCTACATTTAAAGAATTTGTAGCAAAACAGTGGAATGACCAGAATGTCCAAGGGTGCGAAGGTTTTGTTGCAAAGGAAAAGTTAAAACTCTAGAAAAAAAAGTGTGAAGGAATGGGCAAGGAACCAGGTACAAGAGGTGGACAAGAATATTGAAATGGCTACAATTGAAATTGCAAGAATTGACTACAAAGGAGAATCACAACAGCTTAGCAACAAAGAGTGCCTCCAAAGGAGAAACCTGATTTCAAGCTTATGGGAGAATGCCCAAATCAAAGAGCAAATGGCAAGGCAAAAGTCTAGAAAGATGTGGATGAAAGCAAGGGATGCAAACACAAGCTATTTTCATCAGTGCATCAAAGGCAGATGGTGCAGGAATGAAATAAATTCGTTATCTGTTCAGGGGAATGTTTTATAGGAAGTTGATGAGTTAAAGCAAGGGGTGGCTGATTATTTCATGAAACTATTTACAGAGGAAGGATGGAAACATCCAGTTTTAGATGGGGTCAATTTTAGAAAAATTTCAGAAGTTGACAGAAATGCATCAACAGAACCTTTTCTTGAAATAGAAGTCAGAGATGCTGTTTGGAGCTGCGATAGTACAAAAGCCCCAAGACCAAATGGCTTTACTTTTGAATTCATAAAGGCTGAATGAGAGGTGATAAAAGGTGATATAATGAAATTCCTCTCAGAATTCCACACTAATAGCAAGATAGTAAGGGGGTCAAATTCTTCCTTTATGGTGCTGATACCAAAAAAGGAAAGCCTGCAAGGAATCGAGGAGTATAGACCTATATCCCTAATCAGTAGCTTATACAAAATCCTTGCTAAAATACTTGCTAACAGATTAAGCAGGGTATTAGATGGGGTTACTGGTGAACAACAATCAGCGTTCATCAAAGGCAGGCTTCTAATGGATGGAGTGATTATCGCAAATGAGACAATTGAAGAGGTCAAAAGGAAAAAGTCCAGCGCCTTTATTTTTAAGGCAGATTTTGAAAAAGCATACGACAATGTCAGCTGGGAGTTCCTTGATTACATGATGGAACGGATGGATTTTGGATCTCGTTGGAGGGGGTGGATCCGAGAATGCCTGCAAACAAACTCTGTCTCAGTATTACTCAATGGAAGCCCAACAAAAGAGTTTGTCATGACCAGGGGTTTACGTCAAGGCGACCCTCTAACCCCATTTTTGTTCTTAATTGTTGCAGAAGGCCTCAATGGCATTATATCCTCTGCAGTCTCAAAAGGAACTTTTGAAGGAATCACAATTGGCAAAGGAGAAATCAGCATCACTCATTTGCAGTTTGCAGATGATAATCTAATGATGGGGAAAGCAATAGAGGAAAATGTTTGGACCACCAAATGCATAATGAAGGCCTTCGAACTTGTCTCTAGCTTGAAAATTAATTATGGCAAAAGCTCCTTCATTGGTATCAATGTAGATAACCTTTGGGAAAGAGGAATGGCAAGCTTGATGAACTGCAAACTGGGGTCTCTTCCTCACAAATATCTAGGTATCCCCCTTGGGGCAGATCCTAGAAGAATAAGCACATGGAAACCACTCATTGACACATTCAAAAGGAAGTTATCTTCGTGGAAGGGTCGTCTCTTATCTTTCAGAGGAAGAATTACTCTCATTAATCTGTACTGTCCAGCTTACCAGTATTCATAATGTCCTTCTGTCTTCTTCCTAAGAGTGTTATAAGTGAACTAGACAAGATTAGGAGAAGATTTCTATGGGGTGGCAGAGGGGAGTGTAGAAAAGTAGCTTGGGTAGCATGGGAGAGGGTGTGTAAAAGCAAAATAAAAGGGGCTTTGGGAATAAAAAATTTGTGGTGTTTCAATATGTCTTTACTAGGCAAATAGTGGGGTAGGCTGCTAGATGAGAGCGAGGGATGGTGGAAGAGGGTTCTATTTGAGAAATATGGAGATGAGGGGGTAAATTGAATATCTCGGTTCAAGGAAGGCAGCTGCTCAGGCTCTAAATGGTGGAAGGATGTTTGTAAAATTGATGAGGGGATGGGTATTAAGAATAAGTGCTTAAGCTCGGGTTTTGTTACGATTTTAGGGGACGTAGGAAAAACTAAATTCTGGACAGATGTGTGGATTGGAGGGAGAGAATTATCTAACATTTTTCCCTGATTATTTTTTATATCAACAGATCACAATTGTAGCATCAAAGATCAGGGACAATGGAATGATGGTCACTGGCAATGGAACTTAACATGGAAGCGCGATCTTCGAGCGTGGGAAGAGGAATTACAAAGAGAGCTTTTAGACAAGTTGAAGACAACATCCCCAATTCAGAACAAAGATGAGGGGTCAACTTTTGATTTCAGCTTACGTGGCATTGGCATCGAGAAACTTTAGGAATATACACAACTAAATCAGCTTACGCATGGCTCCAAAAGGAAGATGAGGGGTCAACTTTTGATTTCAATAAATTGTGGAAAACATCGATGCCATCTAAAGTAAGTGCTTTTTGCTGGTAGTTGATTCATGATAAAATTCCTTCAAAAGATATGTTAGCAAAGCGTAGAATTTTGTCTGCAAACACATATTTGAATTGCTGTTGGTGTAACTCTTCAATTGAGACGTCGAATCATTTGCTTGTTAACTGCAAACTGCCTTATATGCTATGGATGAAATGTCATAAGTGGTGGGGCACGCAGTATGCCCTGGATAATTCTTGTAGAAAGGTTATTGGCCAACACAGGTGGGTGACTGGCCCAAAAATTCTGGATAAAGGGTGGAGCTTTGTGGGTTGCGCATCTTTATGGACACTTTGGTTGGGAAGGAATGAGTAGATTTTTTGTTCAAAAGGAATAGATTTGGACAACCTCTTCCAGCTTGTCCAAATCTGTTCCTTTTATTGGACAAGAAATATCGCGTGAATGGAGGGCTTCTCCCTTTCATCTTGGTGTGATAATCCAATCAACTGTCTTATTCTTAATGCCAAATCAAGAGTCCATCATGGGGCTAGACTCCAAGGATCAACAAATAGATGAGTTAAACTTGCAACAGGCAATCTAATTTTGTGTAAATAATAGTTTGTTGGACATTGGCACACTACAACCAGATGCACCTATACTGATGGAACTTTTCCGTCTGTATACACCTTTTTTCCGTCAGTATAGACCCCCCGGGTCTATTCCAACGGAAGTCCTTTCAGTTGGTGCAAGCCCCATCAGTATAAGGTCTATACCGACGACAAATCCGTATGTATAGACCTTGGGATCTATTCCGATGGAAGATTTGTCCGTTGGTATAGACCCTGAGAAATTTTAAGAGATTTTGCCATGGGTATAGACCTGACCTGTACAGATGGATAATTCCGTTGGTATAGACCCTCAAAAATTTTAAAAAAATTTGCCGTGGGTATAGACCTTGACCTTTACAGATGTATAATTCCGTTGGTATAGACCCTTTTTTTTTTTTTTACAATTGGTAATTCACTTTTATTTTATAATTTTCTCCTACACTTATTATTAATACCATTTTTCTGAGCTATAGAATGATTGTTCTGAAAATCAAAATGGAAGTAGAACTTCCAAAAGATCAAAACCAAATACATTAACTCTGCACAAACAAGAAAAAAACACAACTTTGAAATTTCCTAACCATTTGCACGAATCAATCCCTTCAAAACAGACAACTGCTCAAACTAAGCTAGTCTTGACTCTAAAGCAGCTGTCTTGTTTCGAGGCCAAAATAGTTGATCACTTATACAGAAACACCCAAAAACCTATGGATAAAGAAAGGAAGCTCAAGCTATGCTATGGCCAAAAATATGAAAGGTAGCTATGACTCAAAAAGCCACTGGAGACCTATACTTGTCTATGGGAATAAATTAAAGCATGAGCATTGGCAATATAACAAGCAAGAAAAACAAAATTATAGCCAACTAGAGGTACCAACCTCCTTGAATCTAACAATATTTGCATGCTTCAGCGATCTATGGTTCA